CCTTTACCCAGTAATTGACCAGGTAGGGACTGTCTTTAATAGTAATATTCTATCAAAATTTCAATTGACCAGTATTTGCCAGTATTGACCAGTATTTGCCAGTATTTCCCGGTATTTACCGGTATTCTGTATTTACCGCTGGCCTGGTCAATACTAGTATTGACCGCTTTTTTGCCAACCTTGATGACAAGGATAAATTACATAAGAACCGGTTTATGTGTTTCAAATTACGAATATCACAATTATAAGTAAAGTATATATCTGAAACCTTTGCACTCTCTCTTATTTCTGGTGGGTGTAGAAACAGCGTTGGTTGCGCCACTTTCAAATTTCTCAAACAGTAATTTTCTTTTTTTAACACAGCACTATAAATGACCAAATACAAATTTCCAACTGACATAAGCAAATAGATATTTTCCAGCAATGATTGAATGAAATATTTGTTGTTAAATATATGTTCCAGACCATATGAGTATTTGGACCGTACGCGTATGGTCATGACCATATGGGCATACTCATATGATCCGACCATACGCGTATGTTCTGACAATATGCGTACATACTCGTTTGGTTATTAATGGGACGAACCATATGAGTATTCAGACCGTTTAGTTATATTCCGAATAAATTCCTGACCAAACACAACTCGTTCGAGCAAAAATCGGCACAAATATTTAACTGAAATCTGTTATCTTATGTTACATATTGTCTAAATCTTTGTATTTATATATTTGCTGTCTTGCTTTCGCTATCTAAAGATATTTTAAGCACCTTTATCTTCCCGACAGTTTCGTCTGTACGTGAAACCTCAAGTGTTTGGGACATGTATTTTCTTTTTCCTCGCGTTTAGATTAAATTTTTCAATAATTTCTTATAATTTCCTCTTATTTTCACTTAATTGATGTTTTCATAGTGCAATCTTACTTTAACAGTGGTTTCTACTAAAGAATAATTGGTAATACGTATAAACTACTGTAATGGTAAATCGTGTAAAGAGAAGCATGAACGAAGTAAACGATAGATATTCTTGTTAGTTATGTCAAAATATTTTGAATGATTTATATGGTTCCCAGGAGTCATATCCATCCCTTGTCATTTAAGCATGTTCAAATATCTATGTAATGGTTGAAATCCATACCTTAAAACCATGTTTCCTTCTTCAAAATTAATAGAATGAATATAAGGATAATTCACTAGGGTTGTATACGCATTAGGGATTTTCCGTTTTGATTTTTCCTCGGAGTTCAGAATTTTTGTTGTTTTTACTTTATACGTATGGGGACTTTTGTTAGAATTTACAATTATTTCATGTTCTTTATGAATTAGAACTAATATAATAAAAAGTATAACAAGCATATCCAACTTCAAAAAAGAGGAAATCTATCAGACCAGACAAAGTCACACGATATTAATCGACGGAACAAGTGAAAAAACAACTTCCATCTTCCTGACTAAAGCCAAGGTCACACCTTACCGGATAGCGCGAACGGACGCCGAACGGATAACTTTTTTTTTCAATCCGTGCAATGTCCATTAGACATCCGTCCATATCCGTTTCATGTCCGTTCAGGTTCCATTTTATCCGTCGACGTCCGTTCTGTCCCGGTAGAAAATTATGAGTATGTTCAAAACTTTAAACGGACGTCCAACGGATGAAGTGTCCGTTGGACGTCCTGTAGCCGTCCGTTTTTTATGGTACTAGTCCGTTCCGTTTCAGTTTTGTATCCATTACTTGTCCGTTATACACCCGTTGGACATCCGCTAGACAAATTCACCAACGGACTTCTACGGGACGTATAACGAATAAAACGGATGTGAAACGGACATTAACGGAAGGATAACGGATACGTACCGAATTTTATACGGAAAATGCCTATTAAAATTTTCGCGTTATAAATGCCAATTATTGGTATTTTTGTTTTCTTGCCGGCACGTCAGTAACTTCTAGTAGTCCTTTGTTAATTTATGTATTATTGTCATTTTGCTTAGTTTCTTTTGTTTCCTATTCTGACAGCGGACTCGGACTTCTTTTAAACTGAGTTTTACGGTACATGTTGCTGTGTGTTTTTTGTATGTACATTGGCTAGAGGTATAGGGGAGAGTTGAGATATTACAAAAAATGTTTGACCCCATTTTTGCGCCTGTCCCAAGTCCGGAGCCTATGGTCTTTTTTAATCTAGTATGATTTTTAATTCTAGTTCATTTATATGTTTTGGAGTTAAGCATGGACTTCATTAGGGTCTACTCATGGGTACTTTGAGTGGGCTCATGAATGAAAGAATTTACAATAGACCCCTATGAGAATTTTTAAATGATCTTTACTTTAGAACAGCTAGTGATCTTCAAATTTGTCAATGAGAAAGCTCGAGATACTGATCACTTGTTCTTCGATCAAGCATACTTTATTTTCGGGCTCAGTAAAGAAAAAGTAGAATTATATCAAAAACAATACATTTGTAGCGTGTGGTAGAATTTTCATAGAGAAAATTGTTAAGTAATATTTCTAGATTTTAGACGGATTTTAATTTTTTCATGTGATATGGTTGTTTATAGGGTGGAAAAATCGATTGTTTTGAAAGAAATGATTTCAGAAAGAGGCCTAATTTTCCAGAAGTTGTTTGGAATTGTTAAGAATCTATAATTATATATATGGTTAATGCCGTTACGCGAGTAAACAGTGTCACAGTATTTATGTAATACATTTTTGATTGCGGACAACATCTTAAGAACAATTCCTTTATAGAACATGCATTTGAGCCAGCAATGTTCCGTTGTTTGTACGGAGCCTTGTGTAGTGTAGGTATCGGACACACACAAGAAAAGTCCTTTTGTTTTCAGGTTTACCTTGCATTATGTCCGTTACGTCATTTTTATGTTTAAATATGTTGAAGGATATATGTATAATACATATACGAAGTGACCACGCAGACAGCAAATGTATTTGTCATGTTGAGATGTGTTCAGTTTTTATGATTAGTAACAACATAAACATAAGGAGATGTGATATGGTAGATAATGAGACAACTATCCACAATAGTTCAAACTAGGTTAGCAATCAACAAAAAAGAAAAAATCTACAAATGTGTCAACTGACCGCAATTGTCATTTTAATCCTTAAAGGTTTAATTGCCCTTTAAATGAAATGTTCTCCTCTTTTGCAATTTTTAGGGGAAAATATTTTAAAATAAAGATAAGAGAAAAATTTATCGGCACTGAATAATTAGCAAATAGATAAACAAAGCTGTAATTATAAGTCGATTCCTTTCTTTATTAATCGTCTTTTATGATCATTTATTCCCATTGTATGGATTTTTTGTGCAAAAATTATATCAGATAAAAGCATTGATAGACAAAATCTACTGATTTTGTTTTATGCGTACCTACGTTACGTCACAGACAAATAGTCTTCTCTTAATGACGTTGTTCCTGACGATGAATGCAAACGATAGAGAATACAGCAATGTTTAATAAAGGCTACAGTAGTATACCGGAGTCATAAATCGATTGAGAGAAAACTAATCCGGGTTGCTAACTAAAACCGAGGTAAACTCATCAACTATAAGAGGAAAATACAGGAACACTAAGATCACTGAAGTGCAACAAAAAACATTATATTAGTCGACACAACATGCAAACTGCAGAACAACAACGAACATCTTTCATCAGCGACTGACTAACCACAAACAGTGACGCATTTACGTAACGAATGTGCTATCTCGAATTTTATAAAAATATTTTCACAATACCAGTACAAGCAATTTGTGTTTGGTATAACGATAATTTTTCACTTCTGTTCTCGTACTATGAACAACAAAATTATTTATTTTATAAAATATATTCTCGTTCTCCATTGTATACCTTACTTCAAATTACTTTTATTTACTTGTGTATGTTATTTTTGTTGGCGGTATTCGGTCCAAATGTTATGGCTGTCGTTCTGACATTGCTTTACATCTAACCCCCTTGTTTTATTAATTTTGTATTTACATTGTGTCATAGATCAAATGTATTCGTTCAATGTATGTTCACTTGTTTTTGTTAATATGTCTTTTGATTGAGTTAAGCCATTTCAATTGATATTCTATAGGGTGTCTTGTCTAGCTTTAAAATCAGGTTTAATCTACGTTATCTACATCAGAAAATATCATTACCCAGTCAGGAATATGACAGCTGTTATCCATTATTTTATGTGTTTGAGCTTTTAATTTTGACATTTGATTAGGGACTTTCTGTTTAGACTTTTTCTCGGAGTTTGGTATTTTTGTGGTTATCCTTTTCTCTATGTAATGATGTATACTATTCATTCAGATTGAGTGAAGATTGGCGCCTTTTAAAACGTTCAAACCCGCTACACCTGTCCTAAGTCAGGAACCTGATGTTCAGTGGTTGTTGTTTATAGATGTGGTTCATAAGTGTTCTCTTTTCTTCGTTTGTTTTGGTATAGATTAGACCCTATATAGCTTGCTGCTCGGTCTGGGCCAAGGCTCCGTTTTGAAGGCCGTACTTTGACAAATAACAGTTTACTTTTACAAAATGTTTCTTGGATGGAGGGTTGACTCATACCACATCTTCTTATATCTAAATACCATAGGACAGAGCAGATGGTATGTTACTGCTTAGAAATGGGAAATTGATACTAGTAATTAGGAAGCTGAGATCAGCCCGTATGTCATAGGTTTTAATGTGAAGATGTCCATCTGTTTCAATATTGAAGAAAATATCAAGGTTTGAAGCAGTCCTTCTTGTATCACTATTATCCTTAATTTCAAGTTCACGGGGGTATATGATATTAATTGGGTTGTAAAAATATGCAGCCTCTATTGGAATTACTTAACATGTGTCAACTGTGAAGTTTTAGAATAGTACATGTGTGGTTCGGTTTTTATCATGTATAACTTATACGATTGTTTTAGTTAAATCAGGAAAGATTTATATGATTAATTTTACATCATCATTATCATACTGAACTGACACTGTATTTATTTATTTTTTAATTTTAGATGAACAATAGTATAAAAGTATTTTACAGAAGAAAAATGCTAAATAATGATGAATAATTTAAGGATTTTGTTTGTTCTTCAGGTATGTATATCTTAAATATCTTTAAAACTTCTTCCGCGATTTTAGAGTGCATAATACACGTTACCATTCTTATTGTAATGTATTGTATGTTGCTTTTTCGCTTTTCAAATAATGCTTTGCTTAATACAGATTATAATGTTCACGTGGAATCTATTGATATACACTTATCTCTACTTTAACATACACTTCGGGGTGATTCTATATATACGGCAAACTTGTATTAAATTTTTAGTTGAGATCAATTTATCTGAAACAAGAATGAAACAGTCCCGTTAAGTTAAAGCCATAATTGGTATCTTCAACGTACTCATACAGATACAAAGAACATGTAAATTCACATTATTTCGATACTGCAAAAAGAGTTGAGATGAATTCCAGGAAGCAGTTGAAACTGTGATGCTGTTCAACACTTTTCTCTCTTTGGGCGAGTTGTTGTCGCTTTTACATATTCCCGGTTCCATTCTCATTTATTTTATCAAATTAAAGTCATCAGATTAACATCAGGACGGATGTGTGTACCTGGACAGGATTAAGTTGACATTTGTTTTAATACACGCAATCTAATTAAATTGGAATAGTTATCAAGTAAGAGAGATCGCTACTATTATGTACATTAAACATTTGCTTAATGTCCTGCTTGTACTTAAAATTGTGATTATTAATTTTGCAGTACTTGCATTGCAAACGGGATGTCAACGTCATTTTGATTATATTGTTTAGAACCTGTCTGTAAAGGATCCAAATACTCGTATCGGTTCATTGAATAAAATAATTTTTACATTACTTTTATATATTTTCAATTGTTTAATACAACGTTTAACATACACTACAAGCCAAGTATTAACTTTTATAGCCCTGCATCTTTTGGATACAAAAGTATCATTATTAGGCACAAGTTAAAGACTTTACCAAAGTGAGTATGGTGTCTCTACACTAAATCCATTGACGGTGTACTAAATGATATTTTATGTAGTGTTGTCATTTTAGCGAAATTTAATAGCATTGCCATATAAGCGGTTGGTTTGGCTAGCCATAATACCAGGTTCAACCCTCTATTTTGTTCTTAAAATGTTCTGTGCCAAGTCAGGAATATGGCAGTTGTTATCAAATAGTTCGTTTTTATGTATGTTGTAATTTGTTTTTGTTGCACTTCAGTGTTTCTGGTGTTCCGTTGTTTTCCTCTTATAGTTGATGTGTTTCGATCGGTTTAAGTTTGTAACCTTTTTTGGTTTTATCTCAATCGATTTTTTTACTTTTGAACAGCGGCATACTACTGTTGCCTTTATTTATTCTGAGCAAACACGATATGTTTTTCAACTTTAATCTAGTTCTCTTAAACTGCGATTGTTCTTTGCTATTTGTTTTTTGTCATAATGTTAAAGTACTGTAACTATTTGAGGTGAAATAAGAAGATGTGGTATGATTGCCTTAAATATGTCATATTTAATAACATGATTAAAAGATATTTAAACACAAGAATATATTGAAAAGAATATCAAAACGACAAGCAACAAGTTCTTTAATGTCTTATATTTTAATTTGTTTTCTATCATGGGATGTTAATTATATGTGACTGTGACCTTTTCACGTCAATGACGTTTTGAATTGCTTATCATTTGTCAGCTAAACATATAACAAAATTGTTTTCGTAATCTATTTTTCACCAATTTCCCAAAATATTTCAGTTATTTGTCAACCTTTCTAAAACCCAAAATCTAGGCATATATTGTTTTCCATACTACTTCCAAATTGGAAATATTAGTATGAAGTTATAGATACATGAATATCGTGTACTTTTAAAGTCGAAAAATATCGGTTTATAACCGAAATAAAAAATATTATTCACTGAGTGCGAAGGTGAGGTTTAACTCACTTTGTTATAACATATTTCTTCAGTGTAAAACAAATATCAGTTTTATGCCATTATCATTTTTTAAGTTGATATATCCCGATAATATTGTAAGGTCTCTACAAATTAAAATAAGTACTGTACACCAACTTATTTTTACGACTTTCGCAAGAAAAAAATATAAAGGAAATATAACTTGTCGCTAATATGTAAAACTTGGATTTTTCCTTATCAAACTACATCAGGTAAATTTGACAATCGCGAAATTATATTGGCTCTGAGTGGTCTCCAAAGTGCAAGACGTGAAATAAAGAAACCGCGAAAAATCAATTGGTTCTCAGTAATTGATTAAAACATTAGATTTCTAAGGCTGAAATTTAACAAACGGCCAAAGCCACTATATAATTTATCTTCAAAGAAAAACATGCATTAGCTTTTGTCGTTATTGAATAGAGGTAAACAATAAAACAGGCTTTGAAAAATTACTATATAAATTAATATTAAATACATTTAACTAGGTGTCAATCTTTTCATAATCGTTTGCGGTTCGCTACGAACGTTAACACTACATGACGCCTCATTTTCTTAACAAATACTATTGTACATCCTGCGGTCACTCTGCGTTTAATTGTGGTTGAGTTGCCATGATAACTGAATTCTTTGCTATAATATTTGGCAGACTGATACTAATTTGAGACATTCTCGGACAAAGGGTTTTGGAAGGTATTGATAATGCGAGACATAAAAACAGCGTCTTATGCAAGAACAGTCCGTCATTAACAATTGTAGTTAAAGACTTTTAGGCTCAAGCTCAGATTCTTCTGTGTCTGGATTGCCTGATTAAATAGACGTTGAGTTAAACAATTAAACCAATGTTGTGACATCAGCCTATTTATTTAACTTGGATTCTTTTCTAAAATTAACGCTACCTAAATCTGTCGCTTTAATGGACTCACCAAATTATATTCTAAGTTTCCTTTGTGTGCCTAATTTCATTACATTAGAATTTGTCGGTTAACTGATTTCTGTTCACTAATGGAATTTATGTCAAAACTTACATATACATTTTTCAATTTTACTTGGAATCAAATCCCTTCTTTATGTTTGTTATATGTGTTTGACATCATTACGGTGACGAAACCTCTCGGGTACCAATGGGTTGCAGATTTAACAATGTTGTGCTGTTATTTAGAGTAGGTATCAATATAAAATGTGTTTTCAGCCGTGTATTATCTTCACTGGTGATCCATTGGATTGATCCTTCGTAAATTGTCACTTGTTTAGACGAACTTATTAAAATAATTATTTTTGTGACTGTACCGTACGATCCTTTACGATAGATATTAAGGTAATCTGCAATCAATTCCATCTCCATGCCTAATATATCATGTACTGTGTTTCAATTCTAACGTCACATTTCTCAAATTACACCGAGTACCGAAATTGCACCTATTTAGCAAAAATAGAAGCGGAAATCTTATAAGATTTCTTAAAGACAAGACAATTTGTACTTTAATTATTTGACATTATACACGTCTTTCAATATAGATAAATATATTTAAATTTACACAAAACGTTCATAGTATATAACCACAGATGAAGTATTCACTAGAAAAAGTAAAATGAACGGAAACGTTGACAGGCGACGTCTACAAACAGTCATCTTTTAAAAATCAGCAAATAAAATATGTTACTAGCATCCATATCCTGAAAAATGAATAGTAAGCATGGACTGATGTCAAATTGTTATACACATTTAAAAAATGAAACAAAACATCTGTTATCCGATTTTTAAAGTTTTGAATTTAAGCATTGGTGCGATTTTGGTTCTCCTAATTACAGGACCATGGATCATTTGGAGGTCTGTTTCAAACCATTTTCTATAATTCAATATGGATTCAAAATTAAATTGGTGGAACCATATGAAAATAATACAATAAAATAAAGAGAGACTGGAAATTTTTGTCTGGATCATAAATAAACGTCAAAATAGGTGCAATTTGGGTACCCTCACGTTAGATTCAATTGACGAGGAAAGGTAAAACTAGTCCACCCATTGAGAGAAATTGTAAACAGTGTATGAAAATAGAAAATAAGATCAACACAAACGTTTGAGACATGATTTATATTATTTAAGATACACATAGACCTAGGTGAACGACACATGCTCTTTAGAACTTCTAGTTCTTAAGGCTTAATAAAATGTCCATCAATTGTGAGAGACGTCTTGATTCTCCCTACTAACAAGAATGAAACTGGTTTGTTAAAATCTGTATTTCTTCGAAATATTTTAAATATTAAGCTTGCTGCCACATGTGTCATACGCCCTCACAATATTTTCTCCAAAGCCTTGGTGTATTGTATTTATAATTGTTCGAGTTTTTATTGAATATCATACTGGCACTACGGGTCTTTCATATGTAATTTACATGACAGTTTTCTGAAAATCTTTATATATGATATTTTTTCTGCTTGAATAACTGGAAGCAACTTTATGTAATAAACTTAGCCTCACGGCTCAAGTGATCATGTTCTGTTATTTATACTTCTTTTTATTTTGGATTCTATTTTACTTATAAAGATTGTTCAGTGTTTATTTTCGAAGACATCGATTAGTACGAACTATGTAATGGTCACAGACATACAACTTTCTTGTCTTTTTTCATATTTATTGTTTTGACTGAAATAAACTGATAATCCTAAAACTAACAAAATTTACGTAAATATTAACCTGTTCATTGAGATATGAATATCAAACAAAATGCTATCATCCGGTGCACGTTGAATATTAGACATAGATTAAGAACAGTATTAATATCTTCAAGGTTATTGCTGTGACGTCGGAATATGCAGTTAGATGCCCCGTTGCAGCAGAATGGCGTTTTAGAGGGAAAAAGTTTAACTGTGGTGATACACAATACGTATGTTTGTTTCGTTCGCCAGGGGATACATATCATGAGACCTGCAATGGACTTGATTATAGCAGCACAGGTAATACTATCTTTGAATTACCAACTACTTAAAATGATAAAGAAAAGAACCTACGTAAACCTTGCCAGGATTACTTCATAACACCTCCGGTTTGTGTTGCTCGGTTTAAGTTTTAGGTTTGCTTACGTCTTATTGATTTTTATTGTCTCTTTTGTATCTTCCTACCTTATTTTGACAGCGAATTTAATATCAGATTCCGATTGGTATTTTGTTTTACATGTAACTAAAATATTTTTCATATTTAATCATTTGTTGAAATGTTACAATCCAAACCATATTTGTGTCACTATAGCTGAGTTTTTTTTCCAAAAAAAAAACACGTAAAAGTAACTGAAAAAACATATCAGATACAGAAAAACATGTTTCATACACTTACATCTTAAAAGCTAATTATAATTGAAACTAAACGTTAGATGAACTCATATCGTGTTGTTTTTTTTTTTATTTAAATTGTGTACAGAGAAAAAAATATATATGATATCACATGCTTTATAGACCTCTAAGATACGTCATTCTTCTGATTAGTGCTTTTAATTGTTTGTTTGCAATACAGGAATTATTTATAAAAAATTGTCAAAAAATAAGAGGCTACATCTGCAACAGAGACGTAACTAATATCCAGGTCTCGTCCTCTTAATTAAGAGAATCATTTAAAGATACAACGGCACAGCGAGTCTATTACAAAATTATTAAAAGAACACAAAAGAAAAACAAACAATACCTACCGTTATCTTGATGATATTTTTTCGTTAAATAATCCAGAGTTCTCAACATATACTATAGAAATTTTACCAAAGGAACTTACTTTAACTTAATCTAACATAAACATCAGTAGTTGTCCTTTTTTATATTAAGACATTTCAATATCTAAAGGGAAAAGAGGGACGAAAGATACCAGAGGGACAGTCAAACTCATAGATCGAAAACAAACTGACAACGCCATGGCCAAAAATAAAAAGACAAATAGACAAATCATAGTACAGATGACACAACATAGAAAACCAAAGACTAAGCAACCCGAACCCCACCAAAAACTGGGAGTGATCTCAGGTGCTCCGGAAGGGTAAGCAGATCCTGCTCCACATGTGGCACCCGTCGTGTTGCTTATGTTATTACAAATCCGGTAAATAGTCTAATTCGTTAAGTCACATTCATGAAAAGGGAGGGTATTGTAGTTACGACATAAGGAACATATCCGATATCATCTGTGAAACGGTTATTCCATAACGGTCAACCAACTCGTGATGGCGTCCGTAAAAATTACGAAGGGAACTTCATACAAAAATTTACGAAAAAAGAGACGATTTTTCATTCCCTATTGTTAATTTTCCATTTTTAAACGGCGATGTTCCGTTAGCTCCATCATACTGTGTTTATATATCCCAACTCGTTCGTTATGCCCGTGTGTGTAGTGATGTCATAGATTTTAACAAACGCGTATTCACAGGTAAATGCATCACTGGTACATTATTAAGTCAGGGATTTTGTTACCATAAACTACTTTAAACTTTTACTAAATTCTTTCATAGATACAAAGATGTGATTAGTAAATTTGGCTGAAAACTTATTAAAAACGGTATTTTACATCCTTAATTTTACAATTATATTGTACTTAAAGCGCGGAAACACTATGTGATCCGTGTAAACTCATCGAACCTTTAAACAAAATTATTAGTAAAGGTTATCTTACCACTGTTGTTATAAGATCTTTGAATATAGTTTACATTGGAACAAGTATCGATTTTGTCATCAGCAAATTAAAACATAACTTAAATTGTATTCTTTTCAAACGGGATGTAAAAAGACACATCTACGTTCATTTTTTATCTATAAAGAGGTAAACTCCTATCCTTCTACCTGTCGATACATTAATTTTTGGCATTGCACAAGTCATGTCTTCTTTGACTGTCCATAACGTTAAAATACTTTATCCCTTGGATGTGTTTTAGTTGATTTTAGTCTCTGATGCATGATTTTTTATTATTATTTGGTTTTGGCTTTTGACTAGCTGCCAGTAACTGCAAGTACGTTCAAATTGTACTTTCTTGTTATTTTGACCTGGTGATGCTATTTGTAATGTTTTTTTGTTATTCAATGTTTACTTATTCAGGGTTATTTCTCGTCTATATGTATCACTCCCAAACGTGTTCATCCCCTCAAACGTGTCCTACTCCCCCAAACATGTCTATTTCGCCTAAACTTCTCCTAAATCACCCAAACGTGTCGGATTTCATACCCCCAAACGTGTCCGATAATTGTTATTCGCTAAAACGTGTCCAGATGAAAACGCTAGAACGTCTCAAAACTCTTAACGCCAATATTTCTCAGTGAAGTCAAAAACGTTTACGGCGATTTAATGGCGTGGAATACAGGAAAAACCTTCGGGTACGGTTGGATTCTTAAAAATCGAAGTAGCTACCCACAGAAATCAAGAGGAAAAGTGTAGTAGTCTGTATAGACAAATGCCCAAGACATGCTACACTGTGCACAGTGACTTCTGCTTTCAAATAAACAGACATCAAGTTAAAAAAATCGCACAATAAAAAGTTTGTTTTCCTTGCAGCGGTTTTATTATTTTTTTATAAATATAATTATCATTGTTTTAAAGTTCAGCTAGAGGTATTTTACAATAAAGAATTTAATACAGTACATTTCATCTTGTAAGTTTTACCGGTGCTTCACTGTTAATAAAGTGGTCATTTATTAGCAATAAATTGTTCAACGCCGCTTATTTATATTACGCATAATTGCAAGCTGAATTTGCAACACACACTTAACTACTGACTGTTTATTGCTTAATGTTCAGTGGCAAATATGTCATGCGTATTAAGAAAAAAAAACATTGCAGTTTATTAGTTTTGTACAGTTTAAATCCTAGTTTATTAAGGGAATTATATTGTACTAATATTGACCGATTATGCCTTAATGTATTTATAATGTATGAGGGTAATGCATGACCTGCTTCATGCAGAATTGGTTTCTGTGCGTGTAAAAGGGAAACCTTAGGGTTTGTTTTGTCGTTCATTAACCTCATATTGACACTTTTGGGGAAATCGGACAAGTTTGGGGGGGGGGGGGGGGGGATGGACACGTTTCTGAGTATTACATGTATACCAGCTTTGATAAGTGTTTTTTTATGACAATACATTTTTATTTCTTGGTACTATAAACAACAAAATCATTTTTTTTGTAAAAATATTTCCGTTTTCCATTTAAACTGTATACCTTACAACAACATAATTTGCATTTACCTGTGAATATTATTATTTGTGGGCGTTTTGTCCAAGGTTATTGTTGTTTTTCTGAAATTGTTTAACATCTCTCAGCGGTATACTACTGCTGCCTATATTTATTCACCCTTTATTTTATTGATTTAATATTTACATTGTATCATAGATCAAACGCATTCGTTCATGTATATTTACTGGTGTAAATATGACTTTTGATTGAGTTAAGCCATTTCAATTGATATTTTATAGTGGTCTTACTATGTTGTGATGTTGCACTATTGTTTCAGATAAGGGTGAAGGTTGGTACTTATTAAACGTTTAAACCCGCTGCAACTGTCCTAAGTCAGAAAGCTCCTTACAAACATAGATTAATTTCGTCTTCAAACCATTGTTCCACTACTAAATTATCTATTGTACTTACTAGTACACATGGTACAATAAAAAACCTGGTAATACATTGTTCAAATACGGCCTTTGAAAATAGTGGAATTAATTACTTTTGGAGTGTCAAAAATTCGGTAGAAGTACTTGATAAATTGCATGGTTATATTGGTGATTTCAAATCTGTTCACAGTTTTGATTTTTCTACCCACTATACCACTTTGCCCCATAATCTTATAAAGAAAAAATTCACACACCTGATTAAATGGGCATTTAAAGCTGACTATGCGGTATGGTCTTTGCTCATTGTTTAAGGCCGTACGGTGACCGATAGTTGTTAATTTCTGTGTCATTTGGTCTCTTGTGGAGAGTTGTCTCATTGGCAATCATACCACATCTTCTGTTTTATATTTAAAAAGTCGGAACGCCAATATATATGTTCAAACTCTTTTAGGTCATTTTTAAGTAACAACAAACAAAAAAACTATGTCAATTGTGCCTGCTTTGATAATATAACTGCCCTTGAATTTTTACTAGATAACATGTTTGTTCGCTATGGAGATTCTGTATCGGCAGGTTATCGGAATTCGTATTGGGACTAACTGTGCACAACTAAATGCGGACATGTTTCTGTATTGTTATGGGTTACGATTTAATTTATGACTAAAATTAGCAAAGACCCATCGAAACAACATCTGATTCAAAAATTTAATAACACTTTTAGATATTCAGTATGTACACTAAAGAGATTTATCCTGCCGAACTGACTTTATATAAAGCTAATACTAACAATGAACACTGCCCTTTCCTGGATCTTGATATCTATATCTTCAATGGAAAGCTTAATACCAAAATTTATGATAAAAGAGATGATTTTTCATTTCCTATTGTTAATTATACATCTCAACTTGTTCGATTCGCTCGTGTTTGTAACAATGTATTTGATTTCAACGAAGACATCTCTGTATTACTGAAAAAAATATTACACCAGGGTTTTCGATATCACAAACTAGTCAAAGCATTTACTAAATTTTATCATCGGTACAAGGACATCATTCGTATATATAAATCAACATGCAGACATCTTATACGTTCAGGTATTTCACATCCAATATTTCATGGTAATTTTCTAAACAAAGCACAAACATGTCGGGATTCACTTCAAAAGCTAATTAAACCTTTAAACACACTTATTTGGAAAGGATATAGTTACGATACTGTTGTCAGGTCATTAAGGATTGCAGATTTTGGTATTAATATTGATTCACTCATAGGGCTTTGCATCGGAAATAAACAAATTTATTCTAAAACCAGTTGTTAGCATAACCAAGGTTATGTTCTTTTCATATATTTTATGATGGTATAATACTAAACCCCTAACGGGAGGGA